AAGATTTTGAGTTCCAAATTTTTTTCTCTCTCCTCCTTCCCCAAGATGGCAAGCAATCTGATACAGACTATACATGTGCAATCATATTAAACACATTTCCACAGTAGTCATGTTGTGAAAGAAGAATCAGAAAAAAAAAGAGAGAGAAAATAGAATGCTTTGATTTGCATTCAGACTCCATAGTTCTTTCTCAAGATGTGGATAACATTTTCCATCATTGGTCTTTTGGAATTGACTTAGATCCTTGTATTGCTGAGAAGTGCTAAGTCATTAAATGTTGCTGTTATTGTGTACAATGTTCTTCTGGTTCTAAAGCAATACTTTTCAAAGAACACATGATCTCTGTGCAAGCAAAACAGTTCAATCAGTCAATCAATCAACATTCACTTCCATCTCTCTCTCTTTCTCTCTCTCTCCCCACCCCTACCTGTCTCCTTCATATTGTAATGCCAGGTTACAATAACTAGCTAATTTTAAATGTGAGGACAAGATAATGTCTCCTAAGTTCCAATTGGTTCCCTTTTTGTGGGTGTCAGTTCTGGCCTGGCTGCAAAACTCATCATGGACTCAATTCCCAGACTCTTGGCCTTCACTTGGCTTCCTGTCCTGATCTTTCAGAACTAATAAGGTCATTGTCACCAGATTACTGTCCTTCCCATGAAACAAAAAAGCAAAGAATCTATTCGTGGCCCATATGTTGGGCCTTTGTGAACAGAGGTAAAAACTTCTTCCCTTACAGCACTGTCTCTCCTTTCTCTTCTGAGCACTGGTGGTCCAAGTTAGGATCCCCTCAATGAAGAGTTTGGTAGCTAGGATCACTATCCCTATGACTTCTTACCTTAAAAATGTATCCATTCAATAAGTTGTTTGATTAATTGGCCTTTGTATAGACTTTCTCCCTGGCTTTGAATGGCTTCCTATTCTCCTTGCTTCCTAGAATCCCTAGCTTCCTTCAAAGCCCAGCTTTAATGCCACATGAGGCTTTTTCTGATACCCTCAGGGCACTAGTACTCCCCGCCCCCCCATTACCTTGTATATATTTCATATCTCCGTATCTTCTCAATGAGGTACCAATGGGCATTTCCATAACCTTCATGGGGAAATGTTTTCCAAAGGCGCAATCCAAAGCTCACTGCCCTATAAACTCATCAAAGGGAACTTGAGCATCTTTGGCCAAGCTTCTACACATCTATTAAGGAGTCTTGTGTGATCTTAACATGTGCATGGATGGTACCTGGTTGGAATGAAAGCTGAATGAATATGTGAACCAAGCACTACATCTTGCTTTGTTTTCCCCACTCTTCTAAACATCATCTTTGTATTTTTTTGTATATTTATTGATAACTCCCCCCCCAACCATTGTATCTTTGAAATATAACTATAGAAATTAAAATAAGAAGGTAAGTTCATTAAAAAGGAATACCTCCTACTGACTACTGGTTAGTAACTTGAAGGAGCATGTTCTCTGTAGACGTGGACAGGACAGTCTATGCTTTTAACCCAGGAGTGTTTAGTTCTGTAGTCTTCCATCTTAAGAAATTGAGAAGTAAACCTGTTCACATCAGCCATATTGATTTAGGGGATTAATCATTTTGTACATTAAGCTAGATTTTTGAAATGTGCATGTCTTAAGAAGTAAGGACTTTCTATACTAAAAGTTTTCTTGATAGGTTAAAATTTTATCCTGGCCTTAAATGGCTTATAGACATGTAGTTGAGAAATATTGATTTAGATTACTGGGTCATAGCTTTTTGTCATGACCCAAATTAGTGCCATGATCTTGGCCAGTTTGAAATGCAGGTAACAAAGTCCATATGGCATAGGAGAAATAATTTGTACAAGGGAATTGGGGAAAATAATTTGCTTTATTGCTAGTATGATTCTGGCTCATGTTAAGCCAATTTGATTATATATATATATGTGTGTGTGTGTGTGTGTGTGTGTGTGTGTGTGTGTGTATACACATCCACATATATACATATATATGTACATATGTTTTGGGGGGTAAAGAATTATAAACCAGCAATGTCATTGTTACCATAGGCTGAAAAGTGACTTGTACATTCTGAGTTGTGGGATCTGTAGACTAAACACTGACTTTTCTTTCTTTGTTTCTCTTTTTTTTCTTCCTCCCTCCCTCCTTTCCTTCCTCCTTCCTTTCTTCCTTCTTGATTAAAATTCCTGTTTCTATATTTTGATTGGCTCCCAGATGTATATTGTAAATTTCTGTGTGTGTTTTCACAATAATTAATGTTAGCTATGAATTTCATTAGCTTTTAACAAGCATTTCAGTTCTCTTTTAGGCCTTTCAAATCACAAAGCCTGATTGCTATTCAGTTTATGATCCCTGGAATAATAGTGTCAAACTCAAATAGAAGTGAGGGCCATTGAGCTGTACAGAAGGATCCCTGCAGGCCACATTTTAACTTAGAAAACCACATATTAACATTATCTATGTTCTATTGTATTTTTATTAATTTTGTTAAATATTTCCCAAAGACACTTTTTTTTTGCCTTTTTGGTGAGGCATTTGGGGTCAAGTGACTTGCCTGGGGTCACACAGCTAGTAAGTGTCATGTGTCTGAGGTTGGATTTGAACTCAGGTCCTCCGGACTCCAAGGCCAGAGCTCTGTACACTGCGCCACCTAGCTGCCCCCCAAAGACATTTTCATCTGATTCAGATTGCACTTGAGAGTATTGAGGGTCATGCGGCCCAAGTATGTTTGACATCTTTGTCTCAGAGAAAAGGTTGGAAGCCAAGATTATAGACCTTTCACTTCTTACCTTAAAAATTTCTCTTCACTTTCAATTGACGTAGTGTGGCTGGGTTATTAATGCTGTAACCACTAACATGATTTTAAAAAGCTATTCTGAATTTAACATACTCTAAATGCAACTCTGGGCATATCTTGTTTGTACAGTACAGAAGTTGTTTGCACGTTGCCTTTTCTGTTAGACTGAGCTCCTTGAGAGCAGACTGAGTTTCTTGTTGTTATTGTTGTTTTCTTTGCTTTTCCCTTCTCTGAATTCCCAGCTCGTAGTACCAAGCCTACTTAGCACATAGTAAGTGCTTAATAAGTGCTTGTTGATTAGAATAGAAAAAGAGGATTATACATATAACTGCGAATCTATATTATGTTTTACATATACAGCTTGCTTTTCTTTTAAAATGTATAATAAACTCAACATGTAATTTTCAAAGCTGTTCAGCTCCTCTGTGATTCTTTCTAGCCTTCCTTCACATCTTTTCTGTTCCAGCTAAAATGTTAATGGATGTCAGTCAGTCAGCTAACATTTATTAAACCCTGCTGTGTGCCATGCATTCTGCTAGGTCCTAAGTAGACAAAGTAAGGCAAAAGACAGTTCCTGCTCTCAGGAGCTCAGTTTAATGACTGATAATATGCAAATAACTATGTTTAAACAAGTCAGACAATAATCATTTATTAAACACCTACTATTTGCCAGGTACTGTGCTAAGGACTGGGGATACAAATATGAAAAAGAAACCCTGCCCTCAGGGAGTTTACAATCTAATCTGGGAACATAACACACAAAAGAAAACAGAAAAGGTGTGTGGGGTGGGGAAGGTAGTGGATTGGGGGAAGGGATGGACATGATTGAGAAGCCATAGAAGTCCAAAAAGAGTGTAGCCAGGTGCATATCTGAGAAGGTTATGAACGATTTTAAAAACCAGAGGATTTTATATTTGATACTGGAGATAATAGAGAGCCACTGCAGTTATGGGGGATGGAGGAATATGGTTAGACCTGTGTTTTAAGATCAGTTTGACAGCTTAAGGAAGGATAAACTGAAGTGGGGTAGACTTGAAGCAGGGAGACCAGCCAGCAGGATATTGCAATAGTCTAGGCATGAAGTAATGAGAGCTTGATCAGGGCAGCTGCAGTGTCAGAGGAGAGAAAGGAATGTATGAGAGAGATATTGGGAAAGGAAAATTGACAGGATTTGGCAACAGACTGAGGAGTAAAGGATGACACCTAAGTTTCCAGCCTGGGTGGTACCCTAGGATAGCAATAGAGAAGTTAGAAAGAGGGGAAGGTTTGGGGGTAAAGATGATGGGGGTAAAGATGATGGGGGTAAAGTTTTGGCTATGTTGAGTTTAAGATGTCTATGGGAGGTTAGGAGAGATATTGGGGCTGGACCTGTGGATCTGGAAGTCATCTGCATAGAAATAATAATTGGAAGCGTGGAAGCTCATGAGATTCACGGGGTGAAATAGTGTATCAGAAGAAAAGAGGGCCCAACTCACTGTTATGAAAACCTAAAGAGAGTATCAAGGAGAAGAGGGTGATTGACAGTGGCAAAGGCTTCGGAGTTCTAGAAGAACTAGGATTGAGAAAAGGCCATAAGTGTTTGCGGGTCAACATTGCTATAACCAAAAGAATTTCAATCGTGGGAATCCTAGGTAACTAGGTAGACTGGGGAAAAGTTTTAGTTTTGGATTTTTTTTTTGAGTGGAGAGAAAGTGGAGCTGACAAGTACTTTAAATAGAGTCCTACATAAAGCCCATCCCACAAAGAGGGATGAGGAAACTGGGATTTTCGGGGGGGGGGTGCAAATAAAAAAACAACAACAAGAAGTGACATGACAATTCGGCAAACACTAGAAAAAAAGCAAGTATTTTCACAAGGCGATTGTGGTTTTGTCCCGGATGCTCCAGGTATTCATACTAACCCTTTGCTTTGTTTTGCTCCTGTGCGTTTGATGTTAATTAGGTCCCAGCAGTTAGAATGGGTCCAGGTTAAAGAGTGGCTCACCTTTGGAAACACCCGCATTGTTTATTCATTATAATAATATATACATTGTAGCAATACTATGTATACCCAACGCCCTCTAGCTTTTTTTTTCTTTACATCTAGGACAGGAAAAATAAAACGTTTCTTTCTTTTTCTTCTTCATTCAAGGCGTGGTTAGATGGGATTAATTAAATAAACTCAGGCTTTCTGGTGAGGTGTCAAGCAAACACCTTTCCCAGAGACCTCAGCCAGCTGGAGACCTGGGATGCAGGGGGTGGGTTTCGAGACGAGCCCACAGGACTGGGAAGCCTTCCTTTGTGCGAATAAACTGAAAGGATTTTCTTCTGGTTTGGAGCGGCTGTATCGCGATGACCTCTGGATGAGATTGTAAACTAGGTTGGGGCGGGTGGTGAGAGAGGAAGGCTCTTGACTCATCAGATAAAGCCAGCCTAGCTGGAAGGTTCAAAAAGACCTAGAAGAGGAGGAGGAGGAGAAGGAGGAGGAAGAGGAGGAGGAGCAGGAGCAGGAGCAGCAGCACCAACACCAACAGCAGAAGCTGCAGCAGCAGCAGCAGCAGCAGAACAATAACACCAATTAACACCAAGTGGTGGCTGAGAGAATAGGAGGAATCCAGACTGGGAGAGAGGCAGTCGAGCAACCAGGCAAGCAAGCAACCCAGCAGTCAGGCGGGCAGGAAGGAAGGGACTGGCTGCAGCCATGGCCGGAGACAGTGATCAGACCCTTCAGAACCACCAGCAAACCAACGGAGGGGAGCCTTTCTTGATCGGCGTCAGCGGGGGCACAGCCAGCGGCAAAGTAAGGGGATTCTCGTGGCGGCCCCCCCCCATGTTTTCAGCCCCTTAAAAGACCCCTTTGGTCTGGCTTCCCCTCCCCCAGACGGCGCGTGTGTCTGGGGGAGGGGAGCTGTGCTGTGTCAGTTGCGGCAGGGACCGCGTGGCTCTTCAGAACGCGGTGTATCTTTTTCCCGGCCACGTTCCAAAAGAGATACTTTGGCTTCCATTTGCATCGTAAGCTCTCTTTTGCGCCCCCGTATCGGAGTGATTTGTGAAGGCTCAGAAAAAGACCCTTGTGAAAGGCTGTAGACGGTACTGGGGCCATTGAGCACATGCCCTTTTCCCTAAAGGCGGTAACTCTTGGCGAGGGTTGTTCTTTTTGGGGACTTTGTTGAAATGGACCGTATCTTTAGGTTTGTATGGTTTTGGAAAGCAGATGTCGGTGAGGGAGCTCCAGGGGAGATCTTTTTTTGCGCCCTCTACACATACCTTTTCTCCGGCCTTGAGTTAATCCGCGCGCCAGAGCTGTGCAGCCCTAGTGCCATGGGTGGAGTGAGGCAGGAAGCTAGCCTGGGAAAGCAGCTGTGGTGGCGGGAATGGGGCGCAGGGGAGTAAGGTTTGGCCTTTTATCTGGATGTGATTGCAGATTTTGAGGTAAAATACTAATGGAGCCAGATGCGTGCGCGCCCGTGTGCAGTGGCAGGTGAAAAATTATATTTAGTGGTACAGGTTTTTTTCTTCTTATTAATATTCCTAATTTGAGGAGGAAACGTGGTGGCTCCATGGGTAAAGTTGGAGACGCCACTCGCAGGTCTATTTTATCCGGCAGATGCTCTCGTTTATCTCACTGTGGTCCTATTAGGAGGTCATAGCTTACATACGTTTCTTAAATCCCCGCGAAAAGCCGGCAGCTGGCTTTGTTTTATCCAAAAGGTCTGAGACTTATGGGAAACGGCAGTTCCCTAGCCGTGGCCACCAGGTTGCGTGTCCTGCAGGTGGAGACGAGTGGGTTCATTTACTGATCCACTCACAGTTTGTACGCCTGTCTTTTAAGTTGTGGGTGCCAGTTTTCCCCACGATTTTTAACTATCTAACTATTTAACTAATTCAACTTTACTTGCAACGGTGGAACCCCAGGCTGTAGCCTCTTCCATGTGTGTGCGGTATTCTAGTTTGGGTGGGGGCTGGACGGCGGACTCTGGTTGGCGCCATGTGCTGTGAGCAGTGAGAGTGTCACTTATTGGTATGCTTCACCCCCCCCCCCATTTGGTCTTTCATTTTTCCTTCCAAACCTGGAGGTAGATTTCTTTGGATTTTGGGCTCCTAGGCATGGAAGCATTTGCTAGAGAAGAGCTGGGGAGATTTCTGCTAGTTTCTGCTCTTCCTCAAGGCTACATTTATTGCAGCCACTCCTTAAGCCTGTCCTGAGGCACAGCCTCGCTAGGTTGGAAGGAACACTTGTGCTTTCTTTTCACTGGGGATTTTAGAATTATACACAGCCAGACCTAGAAAGGGTCCTTAGAGATCCTCCAGTCCAACTTCTACATTTTGCAGATGAGGAAATTAAGATTCAAATGGGGGGAATGACCCTTTTTTTCTTTGTTCTGAATCTTCCCCACAAATTTAGTTTTGCTTCTGTGACAGATGATTCGTCCTAGGACAGTGGAAGTGCTGTGTAAAAAGCACCTAGACTTGACGTCAAGCAACTGGTTTGGAGAATGCTGGCTCCAGTAGTTAGTTCACCTCTCAGCCTCAGTTTTCTTATCTGTAAAATGGGCATAATGATGTGCATTACCTCCCTCCGAAGGCTATTGTGAGCGAAAACACTTTTTAAATTAACTTTTATTATTATATAATAGAGAAGTGAGAATTTATTGTCGTTAGAATATAGTTTTCAATTTTAATATTTAGAGTTGTAATGGGAAAAGTATCCTAAAGTAATCCACCAAGAGGATGCATGCAGAGCTACGAGGCAGGAACTGCCTTTGTTAAAAGTGCGTAACATATTCTGGGTGCTTTTTAGCCATTAATACTAATTCAGGAGCAGAAGATGAGGATTATCATAATGTTTTTATAGGTTTATCTAATATTTATTAATTACATTGTATTTTTTAATTCCTAGTTTACATTTATTTTTACCTTAGAACCTTTCTGCCAGGAATTCAAAGATGTTTATATAGTATGAATCCTTTGAATCATGTAGTTAGAAGGACACGAAATGGATATGATAGATCTTTACTTGAACTGGGAGGAGTAAGAAAAAAAGTTTGAAAGATAGACTTCTAGAAGAAAGAAGTCCAAATTGGCACCTTGGTATAGTTGTATAATTTGGAAGAATGAAGAAGAATGAAATCACCACTCTGACGGTCTGGTCGAAGTCCTGGCTGTTGGGGATTGATTTGAGAAAGCCTTTGTTAGGCTTCTCTTGTGTGGAGCACTGTGCTAGGCCCTGGGGGAGAGGGAAAGTTTGTATCATATAATCAGATGGTCAGTGGAATAAAAGATAAATCCAGGTAATTATGATAATTTTGTTTTGAGCTCTGGAAAAGTGAGAGGTTAAAGTGTAAGCAGGAAGAGAGGTTTGAGTAAAACCAAGTGCTGTATGAGGCCTGAGATGGGGTGGGTGGTGGGGAGGAGGTATCTGTATGGGGAAAGAGTGAAGGAGGGAGTGGGAGCATTGGGGAAGGCTGAACCACATTCTGGTTTCCCTGGAGGAGGTGCAAGGGTAGGAGTTCTGCTAGCTGAGGAGAGAGGGAGGGAGCCTATTTCAGTGACAGAACTGGGCTGTGGGGAAGCTCCTGCTCTAAAAAAGACTAGGTGAACTATGGAGTTTGGAGTTCCAAGGAAAGTTGCTACCATTAGAAAGAGTCTGATTTGTAACACTGTGGCACTGTTTTATTGGTTCTTATCCTTATCTAGGCCCCACAGTGAATGGACTTGGTCTTTTCATGCTTGTGGCTGCAGTATCTCAATGTTGTGACTGCCTTTGGTGCAAGTATTCTCTCAGACTAAACTGTTTTGGACTGTGGAGGCAAAAGCAGTGATTTGTGGTTCCCGTGTCCTTTTTCCTCCTCCAGATTCCCTCCTGATTTTATAAATTCATGAGTCAGAATGCCAACATGACTATCAACAGATAACAGATCTTTTTCAAAAATCTGTGAGAAAGTCATGTTACTGAAAGTGACCAGAATTTAGTTCAGGAAGGTTTTATTAAAAGCCTACTATGTGCCAAATATTTGGAGATAAATCATTTTATGTGAGAATAGAAACTCAGTTCAGGGTTTATTTTTGCCTCAACATCCTAGTGAAGTCATTGATACTAGCTAACTATTTTACATCAGTAGGTGTCTCTTTAAAAGGTTGGTATTTCTAGAATGTTTACAAAGTATTTTGTATGTTTTATGTATCTTTTGTGATCTACAAATAACCCTGTAAGGTAAGTAGTAGTAGGTATTGTGCCCATTTTGCAGATAGGGAAATTAAGCCACAGAGAAATGGACTAACTTGCTCATAGTCATAGTTTTCAGTAGCAAAGATGAAATTAAAAACCAGATTTCTTGGGTTCTATTGCTACTCCTGTTTTTGTGAAAGCCCAACTCAGGATTACAAGATTACATCAGTCTCCTTTGTTCCTACTTGTGTGATGTTGAAGAGAGCTAAAGGAAATCATGAAATCAAGCTGAGTCCACTACAGATTTGTATTATCTAATTTCAGCTGGGCCTTCACTACTGCTAAGTAGTTCTGCTTTTCCATTATTAATTCTCTAATCACCACAGTAGCTGTTCTAAATCTCTTCTCAATATACTTCACACTTCACTTAGAAAATAGAGCCCATTCACTGTGAGTTCTCCATTCTCCTCTTCTCATCTCACATCTGACCCCATGGTTTCCTTTTTTATTCTAGCCTTAGAAGAGTTGACCTTTCTCCTCACCAGGCCAACCTGTTTACATGTGGCCTTGACCCACCCCTCCCCCCCCATTTTATCCAGGCAGATTGACCCCGATGTCAAATATTCACTTTCTCCCTGTTTTCTTTCCTTGCTATCTACAAACATGTCCTAGGCTCCTTATCGTTAAAAACTTCTCCAGATCCTGCCATCCCTGCTAGGTAGGGTCCTCCAGCTTTCTTCCCCCTTGTCCACTAAACTTGAAAAAGTTATCTACATGTGGTTTGTCCACTTCCTGTCTCTCTCTTTTTAAAAATTCTTTGAAGTCTGTCATTCAAATGAAACTTTACTCCAGAGTCACCGGAGATATCTTAATTACCAAACCTTAGGTCCTTTAATCAGTTTTCATCCTGCTTGACTTCTTAGGATTTGCCATTGCTGATCTGATACTCTCTCCCATGAGTTTTTGTGACACTGCTCTTTTGATTCTCCAGTTTAACTATGATTTCTCTTAAATCTCCATTTCTGGATCTTTATGTTAGTCTGTAACTGGTAGGGATCCCTCAAGGTGCTGTTTTAGGCACTCTTTTCTCTCTGTGCTATCTCACTTGGTAAATTCATCAGTTGCTATAAGTTAAATTATTATGTCTGTCGATGATTTCCATATCTATAGATCCAACCCTTCTTCCTGAGTTCCAGTCCTAACTGGATTTCAGTGGACATCTCAAACTAAACTACTCAGTCTGTCAGTGAACAAACATTTATTTACAAAATGCCTGTTGAGTGCTAGATAAAGTGCTAAGTGCTAGGGATACAAAAAAGGGCAAAAAGACTGCCCTCCAGGAGCTTACAATCTAATGGGAGAGACTAAAAGACTATATACCGGATAAATTTGAAATAAATGTGGGAAGGCACTGCTAGAATTAAGATGAGTTGGGAAAGGCTAGAAAATGGGATTTTAGTTGGGGCTTGAAGGAAGCCAGTAGGCCGAGATGGGGTGGGAGAACATTCCAGTTTTTGGGAACAGAAAATGCAAGAGCTGAGACATGAAGTGTCTTGTTTAAGGAAGAGCAAGGAAGCCAGTGTCACTGGATTCCAGAGTATGTGGAGGGTGTATGAAGTGTAAGAAGACTA